GAAAGAAGCAGTTCCAGCAATAAAGCTCAGCCCCCCGCGGAGATGCTCGAGCCTGTGGTACCCACCGCCGCGCTCTGCCCGCATCCCTGGCGCCGCTTCGGGGATGCTCGGGGCGTAGAAAACGCTTGGAGTGACGCCAGTGCCAGCCAGAAAATAGAAAGGGATAGTGGGGTGAGGGGTGGTGTGTCCGCTGGATACCCCAAAACTCCCTTCCTCCACGCTGCCTTCAGCCCGGCATCGGCGCCCGCAGCCTCCTGCCCCGCAGAGCTGCGCCTCCTCGGGGGGGGGGGGGAACGGACGACGTGTCCGGCTTAAATTCTGCCCCCCCCTCCCCGGGGAAGAATTCCCCAATTTCAGGCATTTCGGGGCTGAGCCGGCACCGTGTGGGAGGGGGAACGATCCAGGAGCAGAAACGTGGCGCTACCCCAAATAACCCCGAGAGGTGTGTGGTTCTGTGTGTCCCCCCCCACCATCCCCAAAACTCAGCCCGCACACAGGGTGCTTTTGGGGAGAGTGAAACGCTAAATAACGGGGGAAAACGAGATGAACCCAGCGAAGGCAAGACTGAAACCAGGATGTAGCTGCGGTTAAAGCGTTTTCCCTTTTGCGGTCACCAGAGCCATTTATCGCCTCTTCGCTCCCACCCCGGCCCTCAAAAGCCCAAGACGAAGGGGTCTCCCTGCTTTAGAGGGGGGTGAGCAGAGCAGGACGAGGTGGTCCCGAGGGTCCGAGAGCAGAGCACGAGCTGCTTTGCCAGGAACGAGCCCGGCGTGTCACGGGGAGGGCAGGAGCCACCCAAAACTCCGGCCGAACCCCCGTCCCCGTCGCTGCGGGGATGTCCGGAGACCTGCGGGACCCGGCGGCATTTTCAAAGTCGCAGCGGAAAAACCTCCCCCAGCGCTCGGGGGGTGGGGGGGTTCCTTCCCCCGAAACGAGGGAGGGATGGGGGCACCGCGTCCCCAGCCGGGAGGGGGCTGCGGGGGTCTCGGTCCCCCGGTCCCGGAGGATCAGACTCACCGTGGCGCGAGAAGGGACAACGCTGATGCCTCAAACCACCGTCCCACCGCTGCTCATCCCCCCCACCGCCCTCCAGCACCCCAGAAAGGATTTTTCCTCACCAGAAAAGCCCCTTTACGGCCATCCCAGGAGGTTATTTCCACCCCCCCAAGAGCCCCCCCGAGCTCCTCGGTCACCTCTTCCAACCCCAACAATCTTTCATCCGCGTCTGGTCTTCTTTATAAAGGCCTTTATTTGACTGAATAGCAAACAGAACACTAGTTTTAAATCGAGTGTACGTGGTACACTGTTTACAGCAAGGAAGCGGCAACATGTTTAGACGCGACCTACCTCTCCCTCCCGCCCGCTGCCGGGCCGAGCCGGGGGTTTGACACTGCCACGTGGTGGTTTAGTGGGTGCCGTAAGCACAGAGGTTATTCGGACGATAAAAACAAGAAGTCAAACACGGATGAAACGTTACAGAAATGGAGAGGAAAAAAATAAAAATAAAAATAAAAAAAAAAAAAAAGAGGGGGGGGGGGGGGGGAAAAAAAATAATCCACAAAAATAAAGAGATTCTCTTAGTTACGGGAGTAAGGGAGAATTAAGATTGTGTGTTAAACAGCGAGGAATCGGCCGTTAAAATGGCTACGCACAGTTAGGTCTGGTTTCCTAAAGGATGCCTTTAATGTGGTCCATATGATACACACCAGCTAAGGATCCTAAACGACTCACTGGGAGGGGGGGACGGGGACAGGTTGGGACAGACCTGGGGACACAGGCACGTGGAGAAGGGCCAGGAAAAAAAAAAACCCACCAAAAAAACAAAAAACCAAACCAAAACCCAACCCCAACCAACCAACCC